AATGCCCCCAACATCCCCACATCCCCAATGTCCCCAAAGCCCCCAAATCCAAATGTCACCCCCACATCCCCAATGCCCTCCCTGTCTCAATGTCCCCAAGTTGCCATGTCCCTCGTGTCCCCAAATCCCCGTGTCTTCCTGCCTCCAGTGTCCCCAATGTCCCCAAATCCCAATGTCCCCAAATCCCAGTTCCCCAACATCCCAATGTCCCCAAATCCTAATGTCACCCCCATGTCCCCAATGCCCTTCCAGTCCCTACGTCCCATTATGTCTCCAGTGTCCCCAGTATCCCCACATCTCCCATGTGTCCAAATCCCAATGTCCCCAGTGTCCCCAACATCCCAGTGTCTCACCCATGCCAGTGTCCTCCATGTCCCCAAGTCCTACTGTCCCCCCATGTCCCCAATGTCCCCAAGTTGCCCTGTCCCTCGTTTCCCCGAATCCCCGTGTCTTCCTGCCTCCAGTGTCCCCCATGTCTCCAAATCCCAATGTCCCCAAATGTCCCCACATCCCAATGTCACCCCCATGTCCCCAATGCCCTCTCAGTCCCAATGTCCCCAACACCCATCCCATGTCCCCAGGTCCCACTGTCCCCCATGTCCCCAATGCCCCCCAAGTCCCAATGTCCCCAAGTTGCCATGTCCCTCGTGTCCCCAAATCCCCGTGTCTTCCTGTCTCCAGTGTCCCCCATGTCCCCCAAATCCCAGTGTCCCCAATGTCCCTCAGTGTCCCCAACATCCCAATGTCCCCAAATGTCCCCACATCCCAATGTCACCCCCATGTCCCCAGTGCCCTCCCAGTCCCAATTTCCCATTGTCTCTAGTGTCCCCAATGTCCCCAACACCCATCCCATGTCCCCAATGTCCCCAAGTTGCCATGTCGCTCGTGTCCCCAAATCCTCGTGTCTTCCTGCCTCTAGTGTCCCCAATGTCCCCAAATTCCAGTGTCCCCAACATCCCACAGTCACCCCCATGTCCCCAGCGCCCTTCCAGTCCCAATGTCCCATCACGTCT